TATCTATCTATCTATCTATCTATCTATCTAATCCATCTATCTATCTAATCCATCTATCTATCTATCTATCTTTCTATCTAATCCATCTATCTAATCCACCTATCTATCTAATCCATCTATCTATCTAATCCATCTATCTATCTAATCCATCTATCTATCTGCCTATCTATCTATCTATCTATATATCTATCTATCTATCTATCTATCTATCTATCTATCTATCTAATCCATCTATCTATCTAATCCATCTATCTATCTATCTATCTAATCTATCTATCTATCTATCTATCTATCTATCTATCTATCTATCTATCTATCTATCTATCTATCTATCTATCTATCTAATCCATCTATCTATCTAATCCATCTATCTATCTAATCCATCTATCTATCTAATCCATCTATCTATCTATCTATCTAATCCATCTATCTATCTATCTATCTATCTATCTATCCATCTAATCCATCTATCTATCTAATCCATCTATCTATCTATCTTTCTATCTATCTATCCATCTATCTAATCCATCTATCTATCTAATCCATCTAATCCATCCATCTATCTATCTATCTACCTATCTATCTATCTATCTATCTAATCCATCTATCTATCTATCTATCTATCTAATCCATCTATCTATCTAATCCATCTATCTATCTATCTTTCTATCTATCTATCTAATCCATCTATCTATCTAATCCATCTAATCCATCCATCTATCTATCTATCTATCTATCCATCTATCTATCTAATCTATCTATCTATCTAATCCATCTATCTATCTATCTATCTAATCTATCTAATCTATCTATCTATCTATCTAATCTAATCTAATCTAATCTAATCTAATCTAATCTATCTAATCCATCTATCTATCTAATCCATCTAATCCATCTATCTATCTATCTATCTATCTAATCTATCTATCTATCTATCCTATCTAATCTAATCTAATCTATGTATCTATCTATCTATCTATCTATCTATCTATCTAATCTATCTATCTATCTATCTATCTATCTATCTATCTATCTATCTATCTATCTAATCTATCTATCTATCTATCTATCTATCTATCTAATCTATAGCTATATACCATCTATTTATATCTATTTATATCCCATTAAACCCTTACATGGTCCAATCCCCCCAAGCTCCACAGTGAAACATTGACCAACTCGCGGGCACCCCATAGCCAACAAAACGCCCAGTTTTGTAGGTCAATCTTCGATTAATGTGGGTAAAACAATGCCATTCACTTACCACCCATTTTCCTGAGAATGGTTTATATATATCACCTATAAACATGCTGATGACTCTGGGGGATGGTGTATGATTGTTTTACCCACATTACATGGAACCTATGACCTAAGGGTATGTTATCCCCTGTGAAATCATATCGAATCGACGCTTCCGATAACCAACATCTTTCCCCCCTGCGCACCGGGTTCCCGCACGAGACGTGTGCGGTGAGGCGAAAGGATTGCCGAGCGGCTTCCAGAAGGGGCTTGCCCTGTAGCTGGTGCCATCGTTATCTCAAAAAAAACTGGATAACGATCGTTCTAATCATTGATAACGATGGCACCAAATAACGATCAATTCCAATACTTGATAATAATTGGTGGCAGACTATCAAGATTGGTGATTTGACAACGATTGTTCTAATCATATTGGAATATGTTCCCATCATTGTGCTTTTTCCATTTCATCTCATTCATCATTACTGGTTGGTGGTTTCAACCCCTCTGAAAAAAATATGAAAGTCAGTTGGGATGACTATTCCCAATAGATGGAAAAAATCATGTTCCTAACCACCAACCCGATTATTTGATAGCAACCAATTTAGTTGATTAAACCGTTTTTGAATCTGAGCAGATGGGAATTAGGTCTGCACAAATGCCTCATATGTTCGATGAATGGAATGCTGAACCATATGAAATATATGGCAATATATGGGATGGTTACAATAAACACTGAATGCCTAATTTGCAGGCAGAATGGAGATATGATATGATATGATCTGTGCATTCTTGAACGTAACTCAAGGCCTCAAGGCTTTTGGTTGATTTAACCACCAAAGTCTGGATTCAACTAGTAAACAAACTTTCAATGTGGCTTGATACAGCACAGATGGGTTGAACATCATGGATACCCCAGAATGATGGGAGAGTATCCAAAAATCAGTGGATACAAACTTACGGCTCACCATGTAGTTCGGTAACTCTTCGTAGCTACGACGAGCTCCCCGCACAAAATCTGGAATCTACTTGGTGGTAACCCCTACATCAAGCCATTAAGCCATCAACAGAATTGCTCTCCAGTAAATTAACATGACGACCCTGGCATGAGTCGGGCGTGTAAGAAACTAATGTCCACTAAGAATAGCTTATTTTCAGGGCCCAACTGTTAATTTATACCAGAAGGTAAGTATTTTGTTCATGGCTCCGCCTTCAGATGCGCATCCTTTTCCTTAACTTCCTTTGCCTGGCGTTTTGAAACGATTCTTGCAAACACTGGAAGGGGCTAGTGTGGTTGTAGGTGCTAAAAAGAGCTTGCAAACACTGGAAGGGGCTACTGTGGTTGTAGGTGCTAATAAGAGCTGAATATATGTAATATGGAATAGTCAGTATCAATGGCTTGTTATGGATTTTCACATGATTAACGTGGCGAACGAACTCGGGTTTATGATGAAGTGGTAATATAACAATATAGTATCTATATATAGTCAATCCCAACTTACTGGTTGACTACTTTGGGGTGGCCAGGGATTACTAACATATGACCATGGTAAGTTCACCTCAATGTTTGTCTAACCACTAGCTGGAACTGCACCCAGTATGCTGCTTAAAAAAGGGGCGTCATGGATGTCTAGTCTAGTAACTGGAAAAGTATCCCAGATTCTCCACCCAAAAAAAATGTGACTCTGTGGTGAGTTATAACATGTTATAACTAGATCAGCCATCGAAGAGTGCCAGGGAGGTCGCCATAGATACTATAGTCCATCCAGGCATCCAACTTGTCTTGGCAGTGAAATCCCTATTTTGGTTCCTTCAAAAGGCCGAATCAGCTGGCTTTGGATTGACGAAATAAGAAATTACAACTTCCAGCTGACTGGGCTACTGTAGAAACCCCCAAAGCACATCAAACCAAGATACCGGCCAACATCATCCAACCATCTTGATTGCTGCATATCCACTGAAAAATGCCCATGTTACTTGTTCATGTTGACTCACCAAGGATGTAGGAATTGTGGAGTTTTCTAACTATTGACTGTCAACCCAAAAGAACAACCAGGGTTTTGTAGTTAAATCATGTTAAATCACTATATATCATGATTGTCAACTCCTAATCAGAAGTACCCTCAATGATTGCGAGCCTTGTAGAGTCAACTCAATGAACTCAACTGACGGGGTATTGGTCTTGGGTCAACGTTACAAGGTGGTGTCCAATAATGAACCTAGCAGGTTAATAACTCATATATATATATAAAGATGGACTATGTAGATATAAATCACCTAATATGTATATACTGTATATATAGATATATACACGGGGAATATACAGCAAGTATCAGCAACCACCCCTGGTTGGGTAAACGGCTCGGATCGTCACCTCAGAAGTCGAACTCGAAGCACCTGCAAGTGGAACGTCTGCTGCAATGAATGAGGGATGGATGGATGGATCTAACCATGAAAAATGGGGATTTCAGCGTCACAAATGGTGATTTAACCATCAAACATGTGGATTTAACATGATTTAAGATGATTCAACATGATTTAAGATGACTCAACCATGAAAAATGAGGAATTTTATTTGTGAACAATATGGAATTCACCAATGGATAATTATGGGTAATCATGGGTGTGGTACCTGAAAATGGGGAATGGACGATGAAGCCAATAAAATATGACCATGAACTCATGGGAAGCATGAAGAAGTATGATGATAAGCCACGAAATATCGGGAAATCGAAGTATGATGATAAACCACGAAATATCGGGAAATCAAAGTCGACTACATTCCCTGTGGATCCAGCCGTACCTTCTTAGAAAGTGTTTGGGGTATGATTTGGGGGGTTAAGTACCTTCTCAGACAGTGTTTGGATCCATAGGGGTTTGTATACTTGGGATTCATGTAAGGATCATCATGCGGCATGGTTATTTTACGGTGGACTATATCTTTGATCAATCTTGATCAAGAGAATGGACTGAGAAATTTCATCAATGGAAACTGAGATAGTGATTTAATTCAAACAAATGAAACAATACACACTATCACAAAATGTAAATCAATGAATCATGGCTTGCATGATATGATGAAAAACATATCAGCTGAAAATTAGAGATATAACTCATACCAGTAAGCTGATATGAATCAATGATACAATCAGCTAAAAAGTATACATGTATAATTCCAGTATAAACAGTTGACAAGCTAATCATATAGATGTATAACACGTACCAGGAAATCAATACAGTCAATCAGTCAATCATTTTGTGGTTATCATGTTAAGTATGTTATAATTATCGGTATATATTATCAATAGTATCAGCTAATCATATAATCAATGAATGCTTTGGTTGGGGAGAACTAATATGCAACCAACGGATTGGGCTTATTTGATAATTCATGGAGCAAGCTGTCATAGGTGCCCCAGTGAGCGAAAGTCCGCGATTGGTTGGGGGCGACATAACTCCAATAACTATGGTTTGTGATACTTATAACTTGTAACTACATAGTTACTATTGTTTACTTGGCTTATAACTATAGTTACTATGGTTGATATATATATAATTATATATATATATATATATTATTGTTATATTACATTATATATTTATATATATATGTCAAACCACATTAAAACACAATCCTCTAAATTTCTCTGCAACCAATCCATTGAATCAGTACTGTCAATCGTGGCAGGTCATCGTCGCTACCCTCGAAGCAAGGGAAATTTCGGAGAACTTCAGAGCTCACAGTTATGGTCCGAAATACCAGTCACAAGTACTGAAAACACACCATTTATGGAACGTACAATCCCATAGAAATAACCATTTATTTCACCATTTATTATTGGGAAATGACCATAACCATAACTGCAACGTGCCAACTTCGGACATTTTCAGACAGGGATCATCCAAAACAAGTGAAGTGAGGATGCAACGAGCAAGTGCTGAGGTTCTAGGATTAAGATCATATCAACTTAAATCTAACTAGTTCCAAAAAACATATTGACTGAAATTCACCCAGGGTTTTTATAAGTCAGTGTATTACTAGCTCTTCAAATAGAATCTGGTTATTTAAACGTAGCCATTGGAAATCAACCTTTTTAAAAGGGTAAATAATCATAAATCATCTGTAAATGGGCCATTTACAATAGCTATGTTAAATAACCAAAGGGTACATCATCATATATCCCAATAAATCACCATTAAATCACCATTAAATCACCATGCAAAACCTGCAGGAAAATTAACGTCCTGCATTTTTGCTCCAAAGATCTCCCACAGGATCCGAAGTTTTTATACTGCAAGAAGTGGATCGGTTATGGCAAGGGTAACCAATGTGGAAAACCCAATTAGATATATCATGATATATCTACCATGAAAAGGGATGGTGAGTAACCACCCATTTCTGGTGATTTTGGAGATGGTTTCTTATTGGGTTTATCACGTTAATTTTGGTTTGATTTTTGTTTGACTCATACCCAAGCAAATGGGGGTTTGCCAAAATGGTATATACCCCCAAATCATCCAAGTCATTAGACCATTTTAGAATTGAACCCTATGGTTTGGGGATCCCGCATTTTTATGCATTTTTAGAAACCCCCAAATCTACAGAGCACCTCTCGACTATTCGTCCAACATAGCCTGTGGCAACCAGAGTTGCAGGCCTTCCTCTGGAGGTGTTCCGAACAAATTCTTGATCATCTCATGATAGCCTCAGCATGCACCCTGTGGGTCTGGAAAATGGGTCAATCTTTGGCAGTTCGAAGGAACTTAGCATTTGCCACTTTTTCATGGATGACTTCACATGTTTCGCAATGCCCTGGAAGAAAAGGAAAAGCAACGCAGTGTTGGCCATGGACGATAGGGGTAGAATTAAAGATTATTAAAGGTCAAAAATGGCCAGGGTTACTCACTAATGTGCCGACCCATGGCGAGATCCCCAGGTTAAAAAGAATGTCACAATGTCCGAAAGACCGTGATGTGGCTATGTTTCAAAATCATCGACCGACAGTGACCCACCAAAATGGATGCATACATATATAGTAAATTCCATGGACCCTCCCAACAAATTGCATGCTTCGTAAAGACCAAGCCCGCGAACGGTGGAGCAACCATACATGATGTTCATCGATTTTCTGCTTTTCAGAGAGCTAAGCCGCTAAGCAAAATCTCTCGCTCACCAGCAGGCTTTGAAACCCCTCACCACGGTGTACGATGATCTGTTGCCAAAAAGTCAGGCTTTGAAGACTGGCGGGCAAGCTCACGCCCTCCAACCTCTTATTGAATGTGAACCGCTCGCCGAAAGTCAAGTGCTGAAGACAGACAGGCAGTGTCACGCCACCCATGCTCTGATTGAAACATCTTCCAAAAGTCAGGCTTTCGAGACTATCCGGCAACTTTGCGCCTGACACACTCTGGTTGAACTGTTCACCAAAAGTCAAGCTTTGGAGTTTGTTTGGCAAAATGACGTCATCCATACTTTGGTTGAATTTGGTACCGAAAGTAAGGCTTTGGAGATTGACAGGCAACGTGACGTCATCCATACTTTGGTTGAATTCGGTGCCGAAAGTAAGGCGTTGGAGATTGACAGGCAACGTGACGTCATCCATGATTTGGTTGAATCTGGCACCGAAAGTCAGGCTCTGGATACTGTCTGGCAACCTCACACGTTCCAAGCTGTGGTTGAACGAATGACCAAAAGTCACGCTTCGAAGACTGCTTTGAAAAACCATGCCCTCTATGCTCTGGTTGAGATCTGCACCAAACATGAGGTGTTTAAGATTCTGAGGCAATGTCATGCCCTGCAGTCCTTGGTCAAAAGTCAGGTTTTCAAGACAGCTAGGCAACGTAACGCTCTCCATGTTCTGGTTGAAGCCATCACCAAAGGCGAGGCTTTGAAGACCGTTCGGCAACCTCACACTTTCCATGCTCTGGTTGAACTGCTCACCTAAAGTCAGGCTTTTAAGGTTGTCGGGCACCCTCACACCGGCCATGCTTTGGTTGAACATCTTCCCAAAAGTCAAGTGTTCAAGGCTGTCTGGCAAGGTGACGTCGTCCATACTCTGGTTGAACTGGGCGCCAAAGGTAAGGCTCTGAAGACTATTTGGCAAGCTCACACCCTCCAAGCTCTGGTTGAAGCGGTCACCAAAAGCAAGGTTTCGGAGATTGCAAGGCAACATCACTTCCGACATGCTTCGGTTGAAGAAGTAGCCAAACGAGAGGCTCTGAAGACTATTTGGCAAGCTCACACCCTCCAAGCTCTGGTTGAAGCGGTCACCAAAAGCAAGGTTTCGGAGATTGCAAGGCAACATCACTTTCGTGATGCTTCGGTTGAAAAAGTAGCCAAACGAGAGGCTCTGAAGACTATTTGGCAAGCTCACACCCTCCAGGCTCTGGTTGAACCAGGAGCCAAAAGCCAAGCTGTGAAGACTGTCTGGTAAAGTAAAGTTGTCCACCCTATGGTTAAACTGCTCGCCAAAAGCGAGGCTTCCGAGACAGTTAGGCAACTTTGTACCTGCCATAGTCTGGTCGAATTGTGCACCAAAAGTCAGGCTTTGAAGATTGTCGGGCAATCTGACACCTTCCATGCTCTGATTGAACAAGTAGCCAAAAGTCAGGCTTTGAAGATTGTCTGGCAATGTCACTTCCTTCATATCCTGGTTGAAGTCGTGACCAAGAGTCAGGCTCTCAAGACTGTCAGGCAGTGTCACGCCACGCAAAGTTCCATTAAACAAGAAGCCAAATGTCAGACTTTGAAGGCTCTTTGGCCATTTCACCCCCTGAATGCTCTGATTGAATTGCGGACCAAACGCAATGCTTTGAAGTGACTGGGGAAGGTCGTGGAAAAAGTCACCATTTGGGGCGCCCTCCAACCGAGTTAGCCCTTCCATAGCAAAATTGTCTTCAGGGACTGCGATTCCCATCAGAAAACACCAGGCAGCAAACAAGTCGGTAGGTACAAAAGTGCAAGACAGAACTGCAGTCTTGCCCACAATGCCTTGCGTTTGCAAGGTTTGAGTTAATACAAACGGTGAAGTTTCATGATGCAAAGAGAGCCTTCTGCCTTTCTGACATGCTTTTGTTGCTCAGAGATGAGCCTTCGGAATGCCTTTCCAAGGGTGGTGCCAGCAACTTGGAAGTGTCAATGCTTCACCAGTTAGGCACTGGACATCAAGATCAATCAGATCCGACGCTGCTGAGTAGCCAGCAACACTGGTCGACATGTGGCGACGAGCGAGTAGTGAATAGAGCAACTAGAGCTTGAGAGAATCAAGCGTCAGTCCTGCAGTCCTCAATTTTGAGACAGAAACGATAATCCTAGACTATCATTTCCTGAAGCCATTCCTCTACCATTTGCAAAAATCTCGAGAATTGAGAAGCGTCAACCCGCCATCTCTTCCAAAAATGGCATCCTAATGAACCTACCCATTATTGGGTATCCCCATTTTCAAAGCAAAGGCTGGTCACCCGTGGTGTTGTCTACAGAATGAACATACCATGTCTGCCCTGTTGAAGAAATCATCACAATTTCACCAGGACACAAGACCATGTTGAGACAACATCCCTTAATTGTAATGCGTAATTCAGGAAATTCATATTAGCACCTTGTGATGTATTGACGACCTCCAGCTCTCCGGAAAAAAATGTTTCTTATGCCAAGCTTCCTTGTGTGCAGTGTCAGGAATGAGGATGCAAAGTTCATGGGTTATGATAATACGCCATGTAAAAAGGGCACTATATCCCCCAACCAACAAAAACATCACTCAACATCAATCAGCTGAGGCTCGTCGATTGGCATCATCAAAATTTCAACGTTCGAACATCTTACAAAATAAAAACACAAACAAACAAACAAACAAAATCAAACAAAAACAACCGACCAGATCATCATAGTGATATAATCATATATATATACACATATTGTAATCATGTAATATCACCTACAGATTAACAGAATTTTATCTATTGACAATATATACTGTATACATATATATATATATACACACACATCTGATAACACCTGATAATTATATCCCCATCTCAGATGGTAAAAAATTCAAAAATCCTGTTTTTTTTGAGAAGGCCAACTGGGACCGATGCTGGCACTGGATGGCAAGCGCTCACGCTCCTGGCAGCATTTAGCGGCGTTCTTGTTTGGGCCCAACAAAAACAATGGGAAATAATCTGGGTTTTTATGGGATTTGTATGGAGTTTTTGTGGGGTTGTGTGAGGTTTTTATGGAGTTTGTATTGAGTTTTCTATGGGGTCTTATGGGGTTTTATGAGGTTGATGGGGTATTTTTTGGGGCTAGATCCACCAAATATTTACCTGAAAAACCTTGAAAAACCAGCCATGTTCTCGGCTATCATAGTCTCTCAGTTGATCATCACATTCCAGGTTCTTCAGTGGCTTAAGGGGATGTGAAGCCCATCTTCAGACTCACCCATATGGGGTTAGGATGCATTAAGCTATCCCTAGCAATTTTTAATGGGATATGTTCATGAAAATTGGAGATGTTCATACATATTTGAAAATTATATCACTAATATTATAAAATGGGATACTTGACATGGGTTTGTCTTGAATTTATACAGCCCCCATTGCCACAATCCCATGCTTTATCATAATATGTTTCCCCATGAGAACTGCAATTTCAATTTTATGGGTATCCCCATTTTCAGACACATCCACATGGGGTTAGGATGGGTTAAGTCATCTTGAGCAACACTATATGGCATATGGGATACCGGGTAAGTGTTTTGGGGCCTCCTCCACCCGGCCATGCTCGGTCGCTGCAGTCATAGTCAAGCCGCAGATGACCTGCTCCTCTTTGAACAGGCCCATGAAAGAGGTCCCTCTCGTGGATCATGGCCATGCTGCCAAGCGCGCACGCCGATCACCAACCAGAACTGCGTCGTCCATCACCTTGCAATTCTCGCCGGCGATGGAGCATGGAAGTTTTCCCGTGCCAATCCAGCATCCTTTCCGGTGTTCCTTCCGACTTTCTTTCCGGAATTGGCAGCAGGTTTGATCAAGTTTTCTCTTTGGGATGCTGAAAGCATGCAGACACAAATCACTCAAAGTGTCCCCAGTTTGCCAACAAATGGCCGCCGATGAAATCTCCCGAAAGCGCTTAAAGCGCAACTTTCCCTCAGAAACCATGTGTATTCATCAATATCCCAGTACATATCCACCAAAATGTTGGTCACATCGGCATAAGACATGCTGGGCCAATCTTGTTGGTTGATTTATATATATATATGTATATTTAGATATATATTCATTATAATATTATATATATATATTATTACTATTATTATTATGAACATTATTATTATTATTAAAATGATTATTATCATGATTATTACTATTATTATATATTATATACATAGATATTATATATATATATACATAGGTATTAAATATATATATATATATACATAGATATTATATATATATACATAGATACTATATATATATACTTGATAATATGTAAATATATATATATATACATAGATGTTATATATAGGTACATAGATATTATATATATGCATAGGTATTATGTATATATATATATATATACAAAGATTATATATATTTATATATAGATAGATTATATATATATAGGTAGATAGATAGATAGATAGATAGATAGACACATAGATAGATAAATAGATAGATAGATAGATAGATAGATATTATATATAGATACTATATCCCCAGTTTCAGATCCATGCGCCATGAATCCAGCCACAATTACCAGGTCCTGTGGGTACCATGCCGCGAGGCAAAAGATGCTGCCACCCAAGCGCCCAATCTCTTTCAAGGGCGCACGGACCGCCTGTGGCGAACGGGTGACCAGGTGGGAAGATGCTGCAACATCTGGGAATTTTTGTGATTAGCTCCAAGACTCTAGGTAGGGTTTATGTTGGATGTAGTTGTAGAATGTTGTAGATGGGTCAATGAGTCTATAAACTAACAAAAATAACTGGATATGATGGAATGTGTGGCGTCTGAGAATGCCAGCGGGAATTTCATTAACTTTTGGTTGGTAACATC